GTTTTTCTGCCCTCAAGCCCTCTTCTAAATGATATACCCATTATTTACCACTTAGTTCTTCTTGATTGCTTAAATTTATTATTTTCTCCTCCAGCTCTGTGCCTTCATGCTTAAAAGCAACATCTTTCACAACTACCAAAATTAGAAATTGTTCATCTTCCAACAAAGTCCAATAAACAGATTCTTTGATACCATCTCCTAAAATTGGTTTGCCACTGATGAGATTTGAATTATGTCCTAGCTCTGGCTCTAGTTAGTTCTGACCTCTGAAAAGTTGCTCCTTCTGGGCGTCAGTTTTTCTCAACTCTAAAAATGTTTGAACTAGGTCAGAGGTTGGCAACTAGGGCCTAGGAGCCAAATGCACTCTACTACCTATTTTTGTAAATAAACTTGTTTACAGCTGCATTGTGCTACAGCAGCAGAGTTGAATAGTGACAGAGGCTCTATGGCCTACAAAGCCTAAAGTATTTACTCTCTGGCCTACAGACCCCTGTTCTAGAGGATCTTCCATTTAGTTTCCATCTCTACTAGCCAGCCTGGGGAGAACCTGGTTTTAAGATTTAAAAAATAATAAGAAAAAGAATAGAGAAATGATTATAGTAGTTGAGTATTTGGCAAGAGAATTTAAACAAAGAAAATCCTATGACATTAGAATCTTTATTTCCCCATCTAATGGCCTTAGTGATTCAAGATCATGTGGCTGTAACAAAGGGATAAGAAGATCTCCATTGCTGCTTTGTGGTGACAGACCAATTTATTTGGTTAATTGTTTTTAAATGATTGGTAGTGTATAGATCAGTGATTCCCTTTACTGGTTAGTAATTAGCTTCTTAAAAGTCACAGATACACATATTTTGAAGGTAAAGGACATAAACTGTGACCATCAATTAGAATTATAATAGTCTTTTTTATATCACTGTCGAAGCAGATTATTTCCCATTGTAATAAAAAATTTTCCACATGTACATACTGTGTATATTGAAGGAAGATTCTGAGTATGTAAAAAATGCTTAAATAAAAGTCATAAATATTGAACCTTAATTATATATGTGCTAACATGGTAATGTCTGCAACTGACTTTGGAATGTATCAGAAAAATAAGGTGGATTGATGTATGGATAGATGGATGGAAATGTGATGAACCAAACATAGTAAAACATTAATCACGGAATCTGGGTAGTTGGTATAAAGGAAGAGGGTTTTCACTGAAAAAAAAAAAGTGTGACTTTTTTCTGTGTTTGACATTTTTCATTACATATTTTGGGTAAATGTTTAGATGTGAGTGGCTGTGAGACGTGAATCTAGGGAGAAGATATGGGAGTAAAAACATATACAATATACCTTTTTGTTTTCACATTAAATAAATTATTAAAAGTTCGTATGTTAAGCAAACCTTGTGTATATGGCATATGTTTCTCAGCTGTTTTATTGTGTATTTCACGGATATACTTCAATTGGGAATGTTCTTAGGATATAATAAAAAACAGTAAGAATTATAATATTCACTTCAAGGAGTGTCCTGCCTTTTTATTATACAGTTTGTAACTTGAATTCTCTCACATAGCCCCTATCAGAAAGTTAACCAAATGGCTGATAAGACCATGTGAACTCTGTTTATACAGTAAAAGGATGGGTTTACTAATGGACATTATACAATTCTCATTTTTTTAGCATTCTTACTAACTTGTGGGGAGTTAGGACTGTGTCTTGTGTTAACAAAGTACTGAATAGAGAGGAACTGCACAGCAAATACTCACTGATTCAAAAGTGGGCATTTCTTAAGTCTTATTTTGTTTATTGTGATATATATCATAATGCCAAAATATATTAAAATGTGTTCAATGTAAAGCACAATAATAAAGCAAATATCCATGTAATTCTCACTCATGTTAAGAATTAGAGGAATCACTCATGCCCCATCCCAGTCACAATCTCTCTTATATCTTCCTATTAAGCTGAATAATCTAATGAATATTCCCATGTTTTTTATTAGTTTCACAGTTTTACTATATATACTAAAATATAGTTTAGTCTTGCCTGTTTTTAAGCTTTATATCAGACAGTGCTACTCTGTGTGTTCATTGCTGAGTGAAAACTCACCATTTTGTGAGATTCATCAGAAGGTGTGTGTAGCTGTGCTTCATTTTCATTGCTAGTTAGTGTACCATTTTATGACTTATGTTACAGTTTATTTACTAATTCTACTTTTGGATTTTTGCTTGTGCCTATAGTATTTTATAATGTTACATTGTTGCTTTGGATGTATAAAAAAGTTTCTCTAGGCTAGAGTATATAACTTAAAATGGAATTATTAAGTTGTAGGGTCATTGAAGGTATGCATTTTTAAATACTCATTTTTTCATGTCATTGCTTTTGTTTTTTTTGTTCAGCAGTTAAAAGAATCCAGTGGGGTTGCATTTGGGGGGCAGAATTATTGATTAGATCACTCTCCCTTTTTCACTCCTCTCCCTCTTTCCCAGTACGTGTACACGCACAGACACACATACGCACACACTTCATCAAGGGGTAAAATAGGATATAAATGTTTGCTTAATTATTTAAAAATAAAAATTAAGATTCCTTTTTAGCCTTCATATTTTAAGTGTGAATAGTTCCTGACTTATAAGTGTCTGATATCTGCAGTCGCAAAGGCCAGAGACTTCCCTTCCCAGTACTAGATAATACCTTGCTCCTCTCTACAAAGCTGGACTTCTGCTACAAGAGGGAAGGGAGGTTATATAAACTAGACATTTGTTTCCAGTGCCCAAAAGCAAACTTTCCACAGAATGATGTGTTATAATTTAGATTATTTCTATACATCTTTTCTTTCCAGTAACATCAGGTGTTTGCTCGGAAATTGTCTTTTAGGAATTAAAGGTCAATTTATAGTTAACTAGATTCCTTTTTGACTTATATTGACAAATAATACTACAGCTCTGTAGCTCAATGTCCTTTCCACTTGTCTTACTTAAACTTTATGTATTCGAATAAATAATTTCTGAAAGATGTATTGGCATACAGTAAAGTGCACATATTTAAAGTATACAGTTTGGGAAGTTTTGACGTATGTGTGCACACATGAAACTACCACCATGAAATCAAGATAATGAACATATTCCTCCCACCCAGTAATTTCCTAGTGCTCTTTGTAATAACTTCTCTGACAATCATGGCTTTTCTTTCTGTTGTTGTAGACAAAATTTTCTAGAATTCCATATGAATGAAATTATACAGTAGGTACTCTTTTTGGTCTGGCTTCTTTTACTCAGGTTTTAATTATTTTTAGATTCATCCATGTTCTTTTTTGTTACTGAGTAGCATTCCATCGTATAAATATATCACCGTTTGTTTATTCATTCATCTTTTGTGGACATTTGAGTTGTTTCCACTTTTTGGCAATTGCAAAAAAGGTGCTGTGCACATTTGTATAAAAGTTGTTGTATGAACATATGCTTTAATTTCTCTTGGGTAAATACTTAGGAGTGGGAGTGATGGATGTATGGTGAGTATATGTTTAACTTTTTAACATACTGCCAAAGTGTTTTCTAAGGTGCCATACAATTTTACATTTCCACTAGCAGTGGATGAGAGCCTCCGTTGCTCTACAGCCTCACCAAGACTTGGTATACACAATCTTTTTTTTAACTTTACTCTTCTGAGTAGGTATGTAGGTGGTTGTCATCCCTGATGATAATGATGTTGAGTATTTTTTCATGTGCTTATTTACTATCTGTGTCTTCATGGGTAAAGTGTCTAATTTTATCTTTTGCCAATGGCGGGGTGGTGGGGGGGGCAAAAGATAAAATTGTTTTTGTCCTTTTGTTTTTGAATTATAGGAGTCTTTTGTATATTCTATATATAAGTCCTTTGCAGATGTATGTTCTATAAATGTTTTCTTTCAGTCTGTAGCTTGCCTTTTTGTTTTCTTGAGTGTCTTTTGTTTTTGAATTATAGGAGTCTTTTGTATATTCTATATATAAGTCCTTTGCAGATGTATGTTTTATAAATGTTTTCTTTCAGTCTGTAGCTTGCCTTTTTGTTTTAAGAGTGTCTTTTGAAGGACAAAACTCTTAAAAATCTTAAGTTCTGTTTTTAATGAAGTCTACAGAATTAGAACCAAAAACAAACAAGCAGAAAAATCCCTGAAGTTCTTACTTTGCCCTGATTATTCACTGGTTGCCACCACAAATCAAGTACTTATTTCATTACACTCCTTCTGTATCACTATTTTTGGATTGTAAATGGCCGAATATTTTAACAAATGTGTGTTATACCAGGCTTTAGAATCATAAAGATGAGTAATGTATGTCATCTTTTTTCAAAGTGCTCATTTTTAGTAATTAATGTTTCTTCCCATCATGTCTCATGCAGTCAGTTCTGTATGATTTCCTTTGTCCAGCACATACTATATCTCTAGAGACAATGAAATGCTGAACATATTTACCTATTGTATTATAGTTATACTTTTTTCCACACACAAACATGTAAGTTCATTATGACAAGAAATCTCTTGTTCTTTGTATTCTCCATAGGTCATCACATAGTTCCTTGTACACAGGGAACAATCACTAAATATTCATTGATTGAATAGAATTATTCATGACACTGTCGGAGTAAGGTTCTCCTGATTAATTTATTGATAATAAAACCTTTGGCTATACTTTACTAAATGAATACAAGATCTCATTTCAGATGCCCATGATTGCAGTAGATGGTTTTTCTCAATAGAACAAAGATGTTTGATTTTTACTTGAATGTTTTTAAGTGATCTTTTTGTATAACCTTAGTTTAACATGATTATCATAAAAGTCTGTGTAGGGTAGTATAGCATAGGATCTATAGTCAGTTAAAAATCTTCTGCGAAGTCTGCTGTATTTAATGAATTATATATTTCATGACTTTGGAATTCTTTTTTCCAGTGAAACCAATACATTAAGACATAAAGACTGTATTTGTAAGTATATAGAAAAATACGGCAATAACTTGCTTTCTCTGTCTAGGTCCTGGGGACACCAACAAGGGAGCAAATTAGAGAAATGAACCCAAACTACACAGAATTCAAATTCCCTCAAATTAAGGCACATCCTTGGACTAAGGTGAGTCAAAATGAGTTTTTTAAAAAGCACATTAACCAATAGTTAACTTAAACTTGGGTTTTTCATTGTTCTTAAACTAAACTATTTTGGTACTAGATAGCTGCCTGAGTACAGAGTACATAGCAGTTCTGCATGTAAAGATATAGTTGGGTAGTTGTACTTTAGTGTTGCATTGACTATGTATAGTTTTGTTCCCACTGATTTCCTGTAGACAGTTTTCCACCTGGGTTTTTATTTGTAGGTTGAGGACAGTGTACCTATACCATTAAAATATAGAATTTCATTAGGAGTAGTATCTTATATATAAATTTTGACTACTTAAAACTCAAAAGTTAATTTCTTTACACAGAGGTACTTACTCTATATCATATACCATATGAAAACATGTATTTCATATATTTTCTTTATTCTTTTTTGAAACTGTTTGTAGGTCTTATAAATGATGCTGTGTGTTTTTCTTCTTTTCTTTGCTTTCCTGTTGGTATTTTGGGAGGGGAATAAAAAGATTTGATCTTGTTTGGAGTATACGTTGAAAGCATTGATATGTTAACGGAATGTCATTAGCCATTGGATAGCCTAACCAATTCTTAGAGCGTAGATGGAACCAATTTGAAGAGCATAAGTACTAATTTACCAGAAAACTTTATTTTTTGCTTTGATACTTAATTGAAATGATTTAAGAGAGATTTTATTTAAAATTTTTTCATTTCAGTTTGTGACATTAAGGGCAGAGAAAAAAAATCATATTAGGGCTTATTACTAGAGTGAATCTCTAGCATCCTTATTCTGTAGATTCAGAAACTCTGGTCAAAGATACCAAGTGACTTATTCAAGATTACATAGGTGGCCATGACAAACCCAGGATTAAACTTCTATTCGTGTGTGTGTGTGTGTGTGTGTGTGTGTGTGTGTGTAGTGCCAGACTTAGAGTTATGCACCATGCACCTCCTCTCACGTTTACTTATATTTCATTATATATTTTTGTGAGTTAATAAAGTTCAACTCTTTTATAGTTCAAGCAGAGATTTTGTATGCCTAAAAATGTATATATAAGTTTCTTTTGAGCAGTGATAGGTTCGTTTAATTGGTAATAGATCTTTTATCATAAGAGGTGAAATAATTTATATACCCAGATTCAAAGTGTGTCTTTTTCTCTCTCTAAATTGTATTTTTCTAGTTACTTTCCTTCAAGTTCTCAATCTTACTATCTCTCTTCATTGCAGAAGATCCTTTTATTACTAATTATTTAGATCAGAGACCTTGGTATTTTAGTGCCAGAATTATAGGTTAGCTTTCACTGACCATGATGTTGCCTTTCCCACCACACTTAAAATTTATAATAAACCCTAAATGTTCTGAGATAAACCATTCTTTGATCTTTACACTTAAAATTTATTTTGAATCTCGGTCAGAAGATACTTAGGGTCTCTCACCTGGCTCTAAACTCAGAGAGCCCTAGGTGGCCTATTGGGATTTAAAGGCTGAGTTGCAGTTTGAATCTAGTGAAGTTATTATAAGTTAAAGTGTTTATAAGTGATTTGTAGTATACTATGATTTCAGTCATGTTAAAGAAAAACAAAAAACAAAGACAATACTGTATAATGAATAAATACAGGAAAATAGTCCAAAATGCTAATGGTAGTTTGGGTGAGAAGAGTGTAGGTGATTTTATTTTCTTTGTTTTGCATTAATAAAATAAAATAAAATAAAATAAAATAAAATAAATTTCCATATTTTCATTAATAATCATGTCATTTTTATGAAGAAAGAAAAATAAAGCTCTTTTTGGTGTAATCTAAGTATTCCTCACATGCTACCCTTAAGGTAGAGTATCTGACCAATATAATGCTCAAATTGAGGTCATGAGATTTTATTTAACAGTCCCTATCATTTTTTTTTTTTTATCAAGACTGCTACAAGTATTAGTGTGTGTCATATTCGGCATTTCCCCCCCTGGATTATATCTTTTCAAGTATTAGCCAGGATGGAATGTGAGGAATGGTGGATTATAATTAAAATGCAGTCAACAGAAGATTTGTGGTCAGTTTGTATGTTTTACACTTTCCTTTGCTCATGGAATTCCTGATGTTTTATATCTTACACTAATGCTCTTCAAACTTGAATAATCTATACAAAGCCCTTTTATTTGTTTTATTTAGGCTTCCATTCCTATTTCATGTGTAGAATGATGACTCCATTTTCCCACCTATTTTGTCTGTTCAAAGTACTGTGAACTCTTCATTTATATATTGTACCTTGACATAATTTGATTTTCACTTGGTACAAATGCATTTATTATGTAATAAGCATACTTATGTTAATTTCTCAATAGTGTACACAACTAGGTTGATGTTGTTATGGTTGTAAACACAAAACCAAATTCAGACAAAAATTCCATGGCACTATTCTGTCACCTGGATGAATCTAAATGATCCAAAATATGCTTATATTGATTTTTAAAATAGGTTATTATTAAAATGAAAATACAAAATTTTAAATTTCTAGAGGGAACATAGTCCCTTCTCCCCTCTATTATGATAGTGGACGCCAACCTGAGAAGTGCTCTCTTATGCTAGGCAGCCAATGAAGTTTTTTTTTTGTTTTTTTTTTTAAGAAATACATAATATTGTTCCCTAAAGAAAAGAGCTTCTTGCTCTTTGAGGGCAGGTAAACAAAGTCTGGAAACGAAAGCTGTTTTGCCTTTATTTTGGTCTTCTGATAGAATCCACTTTAGCCCCATTTCCTAAAGCTGTGGACATTTGAACCCTGCTTTTCTGTGCTGCAATGTAGTATAGCTGTATCCCCAAGGACTGGAAGCTGGTGTACTCAAAAATGTAGGCAGACATAAAGATCAAGAGAGAAAATGTCTTCCATGGAAACATTGAAGTGAAGGGATTCAGATGTTTAGGAAAGATAGCAGAGGAACTAAAAAGTGAGATGAACCTAGTATGGTTTATGGCAAGAATCTTGAGAATTTAGAAATCCAGTAAGTTGCCCTTAACTGTTATTTAATAGCCAGAGTAATCTAATTCATTGATAAAGCACTTGTGGTTTAAGTAGGAAAGGAAATTGGTGCTAATGTTTTGAAACAGGGACCATTATTGGATTGGGAATAGGAGGATAAAGACCTCCTGCATTGGTGTACGCTGTAAACTTCAAAGAATAAAAAGCCAGATAGAAAGCAAAACAGATGATGCAAAGGAAATTTAAGTAGAGGTGGAGATTCGTTGGCAGAAGAGAGGAAGCTTAAATTCTGCATTTAGTATATGAAGGTATGGTTAAATAACAGTCTATTAGGTATGAAGTGAGGTACCTTAACAGCTGGTAGTTGTAGCTACGAGCAGTACCTAGTATATAACAGCAGTACCTAGTTTGAGTACTGCTTCTACTCTGTGTGCCTCAAGTTTTTTCTTTTGTAAGATAGCAATTAGCTATTGTCTTTTCTGATTTCTTTTGAAAATAGTAATATGCATATAAAGGAATATTTTATTTCAGTTCTAAATAAATATAAAGATCCTGCCTCCAATATAGTTCTGTGATTTGTCCTTTCTATCTCCACTGCCCTGACTTTAGGCCATCGTCATATAGAATTTGTTAAAACAACCTCCTAACCAGTTTCCCTCTTTCAGTTTCACATCCTTTGTAATCCTCATTGCTCTCAAAGTTAGTTTTCTTAAAAGCACATGTAATACTGTCACTCCTACTTAAAAATCTTCTCTGTTTACTTATTGCCTTTAGGAAAATCTGACATAATATGCATGTAAGAACAGTGGTGATCATGTGTGCCACTTTATGCTTGTTCAGTGTAATTATTAACTGAATGCCCCTTCACTCTCAAAAGTGTCCCATTTTGGATAACGGATTATATAGTCATTTTGGATAATAGAAACTTAATGTTTCTATCTTTTCTTTCCAGAGAAGCAAGAGGTTTACTTCTGTCCTGTTCCTAACCTTCCTAACCTCTGTTCCCCAGAGAAGCCATGTATGTTTCTTTTACTAGTATCTTTTTTTCACACTTAGAATGATCTTCTTCTCTGCTTACCAAATCTTAACCTTTCCTCAAGACCTCAAATCTTAGTTCTCCCATAAAATATTTTCTAATTATCTGAGCTCTCTATGATTAATTAATTAATTAATTCCCACCATGTAACTCTTATAATACCTTCCAAGTCATGCCATATGTATTATAGCAGTTCCTAATTTCTTTTTCATGGTGGTAATAATAAGATGGATATAAATTACTTCAAAATGTTTGTTACTAAGTTTTTGGCATACATAGTAAGTTTATTTAATAGTTAAATGTCTGTGGGATATGTGGGACCATAGATTATTATTTAAGTATCCTAAAAAGCAGTATCTACAAGTCAGTCCTTACATATCAATTTCTTAGAACACTGTCCACATACTTGAAAATGAATGAATTTAGTTACTATTTACAACTAGCTAAGAGTAATCAGAAAATTGAGGTTGAGGTCATTTCAGCTGTTAAGGTACCAGACTAGACTGGACAGGTTGTGTTTATTATTCTCTATGTTTAAAGCTAAACATAAAACCCTACTATACTTATTTTTTTCCTACTAATTTTTTAAGACTTTATTTATAATCTTACCTTTTTTTCTGAGCCCTTTGATACAAGGTTTTTCACTTGATAAACTAACCTGTTTCAACTATACACGTTTATAGTTTAAAAAATGCCTTTGGGGCACCTGGGTGCCTCAGTCGGTTGAGCTTGGTTTCAGCTCAAGTGGTGATCTCATGGGTTGTAAGATGGAGCCCTGAGTTGGGCTCCGTGCTCAGAAAGGAGTCTGCTTGAAGATTCTCTCTCTCTCAAATAAACCTTTAAAAATGCCGGATGCGTGGGTGGCTCAGTTTGTTAAGCGACTGCCTTTGGCTCAGGTCATGATCCCAGGGTCCTGGGATCGAGCCCCGCATCGGGCTCCCTGCTCGGCAGGAAGCCTGCTTCTCCCTTTCCCACTCCCCCTGCTTGTGTTCCCTCTCTCGCTGTCTCTCTCTGTCAAATAAATAAATAAAATCTTTAAAGAAAATAAAAATTAAAAATGCCTTCAGAGGGGTCGAGAGAGCACAAAATAAAAATTGTCAGACTTCTTTTTTGCAGGTGAACTCTGTCAGCCTTTTCTGGTTTTGCTCCCGTGTACTCCAGAAAGCATAAAACTATGTTCGGACTTCTACTGATTCCTAAGATTGTACTCATCTTTTTTTTTGTTCTATTGCTTAGGTAAATTAGTTTCTATATTACTACTTAACATCCCTCTGCCCTGAACATTCTACTAATCCATTATCACTTGTCTCATTAAATACACTATGTTCTCTACTGAATTTTCCACCTACATCTTTATTAGTGTTAAATAATCACTTTTCCTTGTCTAACATTTATTTTCCCATGTGAGTAGACTTCCTCACTTTTCTAGGTGTACTGGTTACACTCCATTTCTTTGCTGGAAACTATGCACTTTAAAATCTAGCCACTAGGATGGCTAATCCCTATGTAAGGGGAATAATATAAAAAAGAAAGAATACTAAGGCATAAGTTTGAAGATCACTTGTGGGGAGCAGAGAGGTAGGGTTGGGGGTGGATTAAAAAAGAAAGCAAAAGTCTGCTTTTAATATATCATTTGTTCCTTAAAACCCATATCTCCTATGTACCCAGCACCGTACCAGATACTCAGATACTATATAAAGGATGCAAAAGAAGTAAAATATATAGCCCTTGTTTTTGAAAAGCTTACAGGTGATATAACTGACTCAGTTGAAGCAAGTATTAAATAATATATAACCATATACTTGATTGTGTGTTGTAGGTGTTCACATACTGTAGGTATAAGTCAGATCTCCAGTGAGGGTGGTGGAGTTGAAAAGGAAGCCAGCCTCCTTAAAGGTGATAGAAGGACTAGGTGGGGTGGGCTGTTGAGGGAGGATTTAGATTTGCTTAGATGTTGGTAAGGCCAGAAATTATTGTAGCCTTGGGGACTATCCCTTAAGATGAGGAGGTGTGGATGAAAAGAAAATGTTCCTGTATTCCTAAGAAGGTCAGTCTGACTATAGTAACTATTTTATGAACAATAAGAGATTAAATTGAGTAAGTGGACATTTGGTAAATCATACTTCTGTGTAAGCCTGCAGGACTATTTTATCAGTGAATGAAGTTAGAGGAAGAAATTACATTGCATAGTTAAATGCTGATATCAACACATATAATATGTCTTATGTGTAACAGAGCTCAGGAAAACTCAGTAAGCCTTTTAATAAGTACAGATAAAATTTATTGAATGCTGGCTCTGTTGTGGCTAAGGAAAGGATGTTTGTGTTTCTTATGAATTATGTACCACATATCAGCTCTTTAGTAGACTTAAGTTCTTTTTGTAGCTACTTAACCTGGTAATTAACATAACTATTCAACAAATCCATGGCATTGTCTCACTTTAATCCTGTATTTAGGTTTACAAATTACAAATAATTTTAGATGATTAATAGATGGCTTGAGAGCCAGCATTGGGGTTGCTCCTTTAGGAGTTCATGGTTTATCAGTTTTTAACATTGGGCCCTTGTGTATTGTGTGTATTGTATAACCAGAGAACAGTGTCTGTGTTGTACATTTATCACAGTGAAATCTAGGGAGGACTAGCTGTCGGAACAGGCACAGCACTTGTTCCATGTTCTACTTAGATTATCATTGCCCATAGGCATTTCTACATTGCTCTGGTTGGCTGTTAATACAGTAGAATTGTTGAGAGCTGATGCTGTGAGAATCAACCGTAGGCCTTGATATTGTATATATGACTGTTTATAAATGGTAATTTTAAAAGGCTTAAGATTCAGTGGTAACAGTTAGCTCCAGGTTGAAATTTGATATTTGATGGCGAAAGTCTGTCCTAGGCCATGTAGGGGAAAATTGCCTCTGTCATTTTTGAGTTATCCAAATGCAAATTTATTTTGAATAAGTCTTCATTTAAGGACTCATTTGCATTTGTTAAATACCATAGAGACTTTCTTTTTGAAAAATGAATTTTCTTTTAGTTTCTTCTATGGACTAGTATTTGTGGTGACAGTTTGTTTCAATTTAAGAAAATGAGTTGCTGCACAGGTGAGGTAGTATTTGAATCACTTAAAAGTTCATGTCAGTGTTTTGGTTCTTTTCAATTTTTCCTTTCTGTTCTCTTTCTTTCTTTTGTTTATTTATTTTTTGCTTTGTTCTGTTTTGTTTTATTTATTTACTTTTGTTTTTAGTTTTTACAGGGGGTGTTTTGGGCTCTTCATGGCCTTGCTAACATACTTGGCTGGCCATATTTAGTCTGCGCACTAATTGTTAGTTGGCCCAGTTGAGTCTTACTTTGTGCTCTCAGTTTTTTTAGTCTCGCTTTCTATTTTTGTCTACCTGATTGTGTTTTAGTTCACGAGAGATTTTTATTCTGATGGGCCGGATTTTAATCCGTGTACTAAATTTTAGTCTGCAGACTAAAAGTAATCCGCGGATTATTTATTTTGCAAAATATTAATTCCCCCACTGGAAACTATCCTAAAAGAATGTTAAATTCTCTTAGAATAGCCAAGGGAATTCACAGCTACTGGTGAGTTCTGCCATTTTTTGTTCTCAATACCTAGACATAATAGATCCTACTACCTCCCTTGCATATTTGGCTCCGTTGTGCCTAGGTGTTGGTGTACATTACTATGCATGTCACCTATAACTGTGACTGTCCCTTAGTTGTATTGTTTATTGTATATATTTTTTGTTTAGCTTTTGGTGGGTGAATTGGGCATATTTGCACATGAAACTGTGTTGAATTTGTAGTGCTCAAAGATGTAGGTTTTTTTTTTTTCCAGTGAGTTTTTCCAAAAAGGAGAAAGAATGTTCTATATTTATTTTTACTAAGTAATGGGTGCAAGGGTATGAGGGGGCAAAGCCCACAATAGAAAAAGTAAGTTATACCCGCACTCTTGAGGTGATATGTCATTTGCCTGAAGAATCCTAAAATAATGAGAATGTCAGCAAATATCTTTTAGCAGGGAAGTCAATCCAAAATGGAGAATAATCCGCGGTGGCCTGATCCTTCTTAGCTCACACAAATTGAAAATATCTGGCTTGAAATCTGTAGTAATATAAATTAAATCTATTTATTACTTTCCTCTCATCACTAATAATTAAGCAAAAAATGTTTATACTGTCTAACTGAAATATATTAATAGATAAAAATTAGCATATTGGGAACTAATGTCTTTAAAAGCAGGCTAATATGCCCCCTCCCAGCCATGTCAATGGATGATGAATCCAGGTCCGTAGAAGACCAAACACTTTACTTTGGGAAGTTTACTTCTAGATTTCATTTTGATTTTAACTTTTTTTGGTTTTGTATTTTTTTAATAAACGCACTGGCATTGGAACATAATAAATTAAAATTAAAATGTTTCTTTATTGTGCCTCACCATTGCGCAATCAAAAAATTTTTTTGCATACACTGTGGTGAAATAATTTTTAAAACTTGGACTTGCTACTGTGGAGACTGATGTTTAAAGTTTATAACTGTATAAACATTTTCTATGTCCCCCCCCACACCATGGATTTCTTATAACACTGGATATATTTTTCCTTGCTGGACTATTCTCTTTTGGATTGACTTCCCCTGTTTGGATTATTTCACTGCATTATCATCTTTAGGATTCGTCAGGAACAGGACATTTCACCTCAGGAGTGCGGGTATGTACTTAATTTTTTTTTCCCAAAATTTCAGGGCAGATCTATAAAACTAGGGGGAAAACTTTTTTTTTAGAAAGGTTAAACCATTATTCATTCTAGAAATGTAATAGTAAAAACAATGTAGGTAGCTGTGATTTTTTTTTTTTTTTCCATCCACTGTGTGGGATAGGTTTTACTTATGGTATATTAAGATTGTCAGTCTCCTGAGTGAGTTATTAACATCTAGACTGAAGTTTAGGAACTGTGGGGTTTAGAAATTATTTTTACAAGAATAAATATTAACAAAGATGCACAGAACTAAAGGTTCTGAATGTTAAACAGTTTAAATGAGTAAGCAATAAAATGGCATTAGAAGCTTCGTTATTAAAAGCCATATTTCAGTTGTTATTGGTTTCCCTTTCTTTAGACACAAAGATAATTCAGAAGAGCTATTTTCTAGTTTGGTCTGTAATTTTTTGAAGTAGAATGCTACCACACCCTATATTATGGTGACAGATACGAACTTTGGAAGACACTGGGCTTTAACTCCACGTAATTTCCCACTTAACCTTAATCCATAGAGTACTAAACCAAGGCTTTGCTCATCAGGAATCTCTCAAAGTGTTTAAAATAACAGTGGTACTTTTTAAAAGGCAGATTAAGTCTTGATTTTAATATGGGCTCTTAGAATGAATTCTTCTTAATTGTTTTTAACTCTTTGATTCCATGAGTTAGGATTCCCTGGCAAAATAGGCTAAAACGTGTCTTAGTACCAACATGGATGGTTACTTGTAGCCAGTAAGATACTAAATGAATGTGGATGATTTTTTTTTAATAATTAGAGATAAGCTTGCAATACTGGTTTAATTAATAGCTTTAATACAAAATCCTCATTAATGTAACATGAAATTTTTTCACTTAAAATACATTCACTGTCCAGGTACCCTACATTTGAATGTTGGCCGGAGATATTTATTTCTACTTTTGGTGGTACTTTTAATTCTACTTATGCACTCCCTTATTGGTACAAAAGCATTTTCCCTTAGACTAGCTAACAAAATAAATCCATATGCTGTGAAATAAATACAAACAGCCCTCAGGGATAAAATAGGTCAGTAATGCTTAATATTTTTGTGAAAAATTTTCAGAGTTTTCCCACTGATTATTTTCTTTTACATTCGGAGTTTGATTATGGACCTGGCTAGGAAGCAAGAGAGGGAAAAATGACCGAGAACAGTGGAAGATCCATACATTTCAAATAATACAATACCTAAGGTTTCCTTGACTGGGGTGAGTCAGATCACTCAAAAGAATAAAGATAAAGCAATTTTTGACCGTACAGAGGGTTTTCTAATATAGTCAAATAAATAAGGTCTTTGATATTCTGAAATAAATTCCTAGGATCCTACCCAAACCAATTTCTCAATTTCCATGGAAAATATCTTTATTAGTAATAAACTTTGTGTAAAAACTAAAGGAAAAAAAAAGGTTTTCACTGTAGAAAGTACTCTTATAGTCTCTTGAAAAGTAATGAGCTCTATAGTAGTAACTAGTTCTGCTACCTTCAGCCTAAGTGATAGTCAGATGTTACGTGAGCCATTCTCATTAGGAAACCTTACTCCCAGGCTCCTCCATCCTCATCACAATCCACATGTCCTTCCCTCACTATTTCTCTCCCTTTATACACATCGGCCTCTCTTTATATGTCTGTCCACTACCACAACCATACCTTCTATTTGATTGTTTTCCCCCTGTCAAGGGATATATGTTTCATTTTTCTTTAGTTTCAAAGGCTTTCTCTCCATCTATTTATATTTATTTCTGTTTTTCCCCTTTCTACTTTTATTCTTCAACTGTCCATAATTTAGAACAAAGTTATTTTCATAGTTTTATGTATCGATTTGGAGTTTTAAGACATAGATGTGTAGAAAGCTTTCTATTCTTTTAAGCAAACTAATTTATTTGCATTTTGCTTCAACATAGCCTTCAGCTGACTTTTTCTATGAGTTAATGTCTTCTAATGAAATGCACTTAATGAAAAGTACATTTCTCTCTCCCTAATTAAGACCCTAGAATATTCATTCAAATGAGGGTAATCTGGCCATGTGATAACAGCTTTTATGATAACAGCTATTCTTTGAAGAAAACAGTTTCAGACATTTTGTCAAATTCTGGGTATTCAAGAATTTCTTCAGATAAGATAGAATGTTTATTGAAGAGATAATACCAAATCATTAGCATTTCTAGACCTAAAGTAAATAGCTTTTCTTTTTCAAAAAATATTGATTGCCAAATTTGAGTAGTGCTGTTCATTACTGACAATTGTTCTCGCACACAAGAGGCAACCTTTTTTTTTTTACTGCCACTGTAGTCAAAACTTTTAGAAAATTTTAATATTCTTCTAGTTGTGCTTGCCTCAAGAACTCAGCCTTCCTCTTGTGCCTATCATATTGTATTTTGTGTACATATTTAATTGTACTGCTTTATGATTAGCAAATGCAGATTTTTTTTTAATTTCCCCTAGTTTTTTCTCTGAGCTTTTCTCATATAGTTTGTAATTAACTGTTCACCCCAGTGTGGTGAATCATATGCAGTTAACTCTTTTCATTCTAGAAGGTTCCTTTTGCAAATGCAACCATGTTGTTGTAAGTGGTGGGAATGAACTCATACTCAAAGGATAATATGCTATGATTCTTATAATAAAGCATTAATTGTTCTTTGCCTTTTTTTGTACTGCAGGTCTTCCGACCCCGGACTCCACCGGAAGCAATTGCACTGTGTAGCCGTCTGCTGGAGTATACACCAACTGCCCGACTGACACCACTGGAAGCTTGTGCACATTCATTTTTTGATGAATTAAGGGACCCAAATGTCAAATTACCAAATGGGCGAGACACACCTGCACTCTTCAACTTCACCACTCAAGGTAATTCCAAACACTTAGTTCTGTTTTTTACCATTTCTGAGAAAGCTACATATGTGTGTGAAGTGACATTCTTTTAGTTAAAATCTGTGTAGGACAAAAGTGGGCATATTAAGTACTTACACAGGTAGGAAACATCCTTTCTAACCACTTATTAGGCTACTACTTTTATGGTTTTGAACAAAATAGTGGCAGATAAAATTTTTCCAGTAGATGTAGTTTCTCTCATTTTTGGCAGATTATAATAAATCTTGGCACATGAGAAGCTATAGAGATTTCACTATTAAGACTAAAGTACAATTTAACTTTCAAATTTGTATTTGAAACTTAGAAGTTAGCATTTCTTGCTTCCCAAGGATTTATATCAAATTTTTTAAACCTGGAAATAAATTGGTGGCTATGTTTGTATAAAGTCAGATATCTTATAAACAGAAGGAAAACTGGAATTCTAGAACTCTCTTTCTTAGAACTTATATAAGGGATGTAGATAGAGAATTCTCTTGCCTTCTGGGGTTGATGCTGCTGCGAAAATGTTGAGAGGAAAAACAGAGTTTGTGCACTGGTGGTTTCTAAAAGACCCAGGTAGAGTCATCATTTCTTAATCACTTGTGTGTCCACTTTTCTTTCCTCTCTGATTAAGACCCTAAGTGATTCATTTAATCAACTACACTGCCTTTGATGCTATGATTTTCTTCATAAACTGAACATTAAAGGTGTACAATTTCCTAGAGATAAAACAAGCAATAAATAGTCGATTGATTCATTAGTCAGCTTAGTCAAACTTAAAAATATAGGAGGGAGATGGAGAGCTTTCTGTGACCAGGAAATAGATATATTTCCTTTATCCTAAGATGAATTTTCCTCCCATATTTAAACTTTTCTAAAAATTGAAAGTGGGAAAATGCATTGCTTAAGCATTAGATTTGGAAGACATGAGTTGCTAGTAAAATAGACTTGGATGATTCCATTGACTATAATCTTAAGCAGTCAATAATATGTAACTACAAGCAGTGCTGATATAGTCTTAAACTGCATTCATAAAGGAAGAATGTTCAGATATCCTGGCATTAATTCTGACTAGGGCTGATCAGAAATCATTTGGAATGTTGTTTTAGGTCCTGGCTACACCATTTTTAAGATGTTAATGAATGGCGGGTAGGGTATACAAAGGAACAGAATTGACTATGGATCCTGGAAAAGTGAAGACTTAAGGAATTTTTGAGAACAGTCTAAAAATACCTCATAGATTATCTTCTAAACAGAGGTGTAGACCTGTGTTCTTTCTCCTGATTATAAAATTGAAAATAGTAGTAGCAGAAAATTAGAGAACAGTACATATTTGAGTTTATTATATAAACATCAGCCCCTGGCATAGATAGAGACTAAATAAAATTGATGAATCAATGAAGTTTTCAGTTGTTTAACAGTGGAACAAGTTTTTTGTTTGTTTTCCAAAATACTGATCTTTATATCAGGAAAAAGCTGGATGATACCAAATGTTATAGATAAGATTATTACAATTTGGCTATAGGTTAGACTCTTCTAGAGCAAAGATTCTATGATTTTGAGTCATTAAGAAAATAAGTTTTATTTTCAATTTTTACTGCTTTGTTTTAATCAAGAGTAGTACATATATATTAAGGAAAATGTTGAAAATGCAAACGAAGTATAGAGAAAATTAAAATCACAGTCCCCAAATAATCACTTTTAGCATTCAAATTAATCGTAAGATTTTATAGTGTAGCTCTTTTCAGTCTTTTCTCTAATGCATATACTGATAATCCTTGAATATAAAGTGATACTCTACTCTCCCATTAAGAATATCCCAAAAAGGTTTCTTTTGGTTAACTCAAATGTATTTAAAATTATGCATTATATAAAATCAATAATTATTCAGGAACTTTACTTTTTTTACCTCTCAAGTTTCATAAAACAATTTTATTAATACTTTTTTTTAAAGATTTTATTTATTTGACAGAGAGGTAGAACAGGTAGGCAGAGCGGCAGGCAGAGGGAGAGGGAGCGCTGAGCATGGAGCCTGATGCGGGGCTTGATCCCACCACCCTGGGATCGTGACATGAGCCGAAAGCAGCCGCTTTAACCAACTGAGCCACCCAGGCAGCTTTTACATCTGTGTCTTTGTCATCAGTAGAGCTACATTTTGAACTAACATAAATTTTTTGATATGAAGCAGTTTTTGAATCTATATGAGGCCACTACTGGAAATTCTATAAGTATCCATTTTCATAAGTTGTTTTATTTTGTTTTTGTACTGTAGATAGCTATTTATTATCTCTACATATAACTATCTGCTGGGTTACTTTTTAAAGTGGTCTCTAAAAGGCTCTGTATACAAGGACATGCAGCACTTGCAACTGTGGAATCTTGGCATCAGAAAATACTAAGTTAATGTTAAATTTATTTGTCTCTTTTTTTTTTAAACCAGTTCTGTCAGGTGAACTTAGAGTTTCCCAAACCAGCATATGATTATGGTTTTATTCACACTAAATATCTTCTCCGATAAGTACGTTGTTTCTCGAAATACATGAATCGAGGAAGCCTTTTGTCAAGCAGCTTGATAGAACCCCAAACACAACAAGATATTTATGATAGATATATTTTGGAGAATAATTCTTCTTATGTTCAGACACATAGGTACATACTCTATAATGGACCTGTATGTGTTGATCAAAATTGAGATATTACTTAAACATTATATTTAATCAGATTTAAAATCCAGGATTCTGTTTCACTGTCCATATAACATAAGATGAGCCGTTTTAAAGTAAACAATTCAGTTTACTTTATTTAGTATATTCACAGTGACAACTACCACCTAAATCAAGTTCCAAAACATTTTCACTGATTCTAAAGAAAACTCCATACCCACTAAGCAGTCAGTCCCATTAACTACTCCTCCAACCCTTGGCAACCACCAATGTGCTTCCTGCTTCTGGACTTACCTATTCTGGATATCTTATATAGATGAAATAATATATTATATGACCTTTTGTGTATGGCTTCTTTCACTTAGCATAACATTTTCAAGGTTCATCCATGTTGTAGCAGTGTATTAGTATTTTATTCCTTTTTATGGCTGAATAATATTCTGTATTATGTCTTAATCAAAGGCTGCTATAACGAAACACCAGAGACCGTGTGGCTAAACAACAAACATTCATTTATCAGAGTTCTGGAGGCTAGGAAGTTCAAGATTAAGGTGCTAGTAGATTTGATCTCTGATGAGGGCCTACTTCCTGGTTTGCAAATGGCTACTTTCTTACTGTATCCTCATATGGTAGAAAGAGATTACCTCTCTTGTTTCTGTTATAGGGCCACTTAATCCTATTCATGTCGGTTCTACCCTCATGACCTTATTACCTCTTAAGGGCCCATTTTCAAATACTGTTACTTTGGGGAGTAGGGCTTAAGCATATGAATTTTAGGGGGACACAGACATTCAATCCATAGTATATGGATATACCACATTTTTGTTTATCCATCATCTATTGATGGATATTTGGTTTGTTTATACCTTTTGGCTATTGTGAATAGTGCTGCTAGGACCATTTGTTTACAAGTATTTGTTTGAATACTTGTTTTTAATTCTTTTAGGTATTGCTGAGTCATGTGGTAATTCTATGTTTAACTTTTTGAGGAACTGCCAAACTATTTTCCACGGCGGTTTGCATGTTTTACGTTCTCACCAGCAGTGTACAAGAGTTCCAGTTTCTCCACATCCTCACCAATACATTATTTTCCTCTCTCTTTTTTTTTAATAGCCATCCTAGTGGGTGTGAAGTGGTTTTTCATTGTGCATTGTTGTCCTGAGTTTATTGCAATATAATGAATCACGACCTGGTAAATGCTATTTACCTGTTCTCTAATAAATTACACTCATAAAACAAATAGACATGAAAATAAATTGGCTTAGATTTTAGAATATGGTCTTGAAAATATTGGAAAGACTTTTGTGAACAGGCAGTTTTTATATTGTAAACTAATAGACTCAACTAACTTTAACGTCCTTAAAAGTCTCTGAAGTTTTTCTTAACTTCAGCTTTGACACATGCCTTTTAAAGTAAAGGCTCAATTTGAAGAAGAATAAATAATTTGGCTCAAACTTTATTTATACATGTGTGATATTTACAAGTTTTTAAAAAGGTATGAAGATTGTCTTATTTTAACATTTCAAATTGTTATATTTGCCCAGAATATCAAACATAACTATGGTTCTCTGTATGTCTGGATGTACATATATATCTTTGAGGATTTAAAGAATATGTGTATATTTGGATGTGGTGTGTGTAGATGTAGTATGCAATCTCTACAGCTCCCAAGTATTTCTGTGACTCACTGCATATCAGTGAAAAGGATGTACATGAGTCTTTGTATCTATTCAAATGAACTCTGTAATTATGTCCTTGAAATTATTTTCCATAAAACTAAATGTATTATATTGAAAGTACCATCATTTTGAGATATGGCCCTTCTTTTTTAAGCGTTAAAATGCCTATCCTTGCAGCCATTCTGAAACTGAGCTGTAATCACCAGTAGTATTTTCTCCCTTTCCTTCTACATCAGTATTACACTTGAACAGTGTTTCTGTATAAGGACACAGCTGTCCAGGAAAGAAGTGTTATTTGATGTTATATTTGATCCTCTGTATTCTAATTTTGGATCAATGGTTCCAAATGATGATCTCGTTTACCAAGGCAAAGATGTAACTCTTGTGCAGATGCAACTTCAAAGCACATACTATCTAATAGCAATTAATGATCAGAATAAAACTGGATAATGCAAGAGCTTGAAAAAAGGAGAATCAATCACCCAATTGGTTGTATAGCTAGAGTCCAGAGACAGGAAACACTAAGGGTGGGAGGGTGTTAGTGAAGTTCTGCTGTAAAACCCTCCTCCATCCTCACAAATTTTCATGAAGTTTGTGCTAATTCCCTCAAATGAAATAAAGATAAATCCTTGTCTGCGTGTAGTAGGTGTTCAAT